GGGGGGGGGGCGCTCCCCCACTCGCTCGCGCCCGTCTCTCCAAGCCATTTTGCTTACTGCCCTGAGCAAAGTAGGTAAAATCAATGTGGCAATGCGCTGCCCGGAACTAAGAAGAACAAAAGCGGATACAGAGAGCGGTGGTGGGGGCGGGGATGCCCCGTTTTCTTGTTCCCTGCTTTCTTCTGCATTTCAGCTTTACCGGGATTCTTTATAGATGGTTCCGGCAGTGCCCGTTTTAAGGAGAATTAATGAAATCACCACCGGAAACAGATCTTAAATAATGTCTTAAATCAGTGATAACTAAAATTGACAGTTACTAGAGATTAAATCGAGGTCATTCACATCGAACTGCACCGTCAAATGATAAAAATAAGCCCACTTTAGGTACTGGTTTCGGTCCCGACTTCTTCATTTCTTCTCAAAAAGCGCACTGTCGGAACGGTCTATTCCCTTTAACGGTGTAAAGTTTTCTGCTAGAGCGGCTATAGACTATTCCGGCGGGAGCGCGGAGAAGACTCCACGGAAGAACAATAGGGCCCGTGATTCGCCGAGCGGCGTCCCCCTCCACTACGGGATGATGGTGGGGGGCGCCGCTCGGCGAATCACGGGCCCTTTTGTTCTTCCGTGGAGTCTTCTCCGCGCTCCCGCCGGAATACTCTATACACCCGCTTAGGCAAGGGAGACCGGGGCTACTTGACCACGGGGGCTACTTGAACACCCCTCCGTTTTGAAAGAACCGCGTACCATCATACGGAAAATTCGGGCTTGACCCCTTCTAGACTGCTCATATAATTTCTAGAAGGTGGTGGTCGTGTTGTCGTTCACTATTGCGCAGCAGAAGAACGATGCAGCTAGGCTTCAAAACTGGGGTACGATGTAATATTTGGTAGCTGGTTTTGACCTGCTTCTGCTATCAAAAAAGGTGCGGCTGACTGTCTATGTAGATTTTCTAATTTTTATAGACTATTATTCTACGATTCAACCTGGGTCCGCGTCGAGGGATCAATTCTCGTGGCCGGTATGGCCCGGTATTTGTTAGTACACTCTTTGGGGCACCATGACTATCTTTTTGTGGGGCACCTTGAACACCCCCAAATTTTAATTTCTTACTATCTTTGGTCTATTTGCGCATTTATTCTTGTCTGGAACACCATACAGTAAGTCAGGTGACTCCTAGAAGTTGACAAGGAGGCACTTTAGTACCTCAACCTCAACCAATGTTCACTTTACAGAGGGAAATGTTGCGAAAATATGGTAGACGAACTGAGAAGGTCATTCGCCGAGGAGGCAAGGGATCGTACCCATACTACGTGACCGATTTTCGCGAATTTGACCCCCCCCCCCCCTCGTTACCTGCCGTAGTTTTTGACTTGAGCCCCTCCCCCTCCAACCCAAAAGTTACGTAGTATTTCCAAAATTGCTGTTTTTACCTTATTTCAACGCATTTGGCGAAGTCAATCATTTTTACATCGGACAATCGTATAAGCGGTCAAAAAAGTAACATTGAAGCTTTATCGATGATGAAACTGAATGACCAAGTAAAGAATCACTCGATTGTTTTTGAAAAATCCCGTGTTGATAATGCTACGTGACTTCAGTCTACACCCCTCCTCCCCCCTCGTAACCGATCGTAGTACTTACCGAACCCCCCCCCCCCCCCCCCCCCCCACCCATCGTATTATTTTCCCACCCCCCCCCCCCCCCCCCACATGTAAAATTGGTCACGTAGTATGGGTACGGTCCCTTATCATGGAATTACTCTTTTACTTTATTTGGTACGGTTTGGCTTCAAAATCAGTCAGCTATTGTGAATTTTCAGGGGGTGTTCATGGTACCCCAGGGGGTGTTCAAGTAGCCCCGCATGTCAAAGGACCCTGAAAATCGCCCGAATACAAAACCGCTCGGCACATCGATAGTTGGGGCCAAACAAACGTTTTGACCAGCAGAGGCAAAAAAAAATTCCCTTAGGAAAGAGTTATAAGGGGTTAAAATTAACATGGCGCCTTACGATCATCTGGGTAGGCAACCCACAGCACACGGCCGGCGGTTTTTAGCCCGCCCTTCTGCTTTTGAAAAAGCATTAAAGCGGGCTTATGCAACCGCTCTCGTGTCCGTCCGTCCGTCCGTCCGTCCGTGTAAGAGGAAGGAGATGAGCTAGAGGTCTGCAAACCCGGGTGGAAGGATCTTCACCTAGACTACTGTTTAAACTGTAGTGTTGAATCTGAAGATATCAAACTCCATTTATAATGTAGAAAAAAGTGGGTAATTTCTGTAGTCCATTCACGACTGCAGTATTGGGCCTTTGTTAACAGTTAGTCTGCAGTCGGACTGCACTTTTTATGCTGTTGCAAACTACAGTTCTAATTTGCTGTTGCGAGTTTAGTTTAAAGACATTGTACAAACAAGTATCTATCCGTTGTTTAACTACTGAGTAAAAGTGTACAGTAAATTACACAATTAATACGCTGGAACACCATTCTAAACAGAGACATCGGGACGAGTAATTTTGCGCTGTCGGTGTATTACTTTTTTTCTAGTATAGCTTTACTTTCCACTGCTAAGTGTACTAATGATACAACCTTAGGTACTACTCATAGTTGAAATTGTTGTTTATATTTATTTATATGAATAGGAGAAGTATAGGTGAGAACTTTATCTATAATGCTAGATTAAAATTTGGTGAATTTACTTTCCAACCCTTAACTTAAACACTTCTATGTGTTTAACTTTAATGTTAAAAACTTTTTTAGTATTCAAATATCCAGTCGAACCCTCAAGAGTGTACACACTTGTGTTGAGCACTTGCATGTGCACGCCAGTTGCACACTTAATTTATCATTACAAAGTTTAGTTATTCATGAGGACGGAGGGGAAAATACGCGCAAAACTAAGGACCCAGTAGTTACTACAGCTGAATGACAGAGAAACTGTAGTTTAACTGTAGTTAGACCAGAAGCTCGGCGGGCTGAGACCCTTGGCATGACACTGCGCTGCTGTCGCACCAGAGCAATGGTGTCGCAGTGGCTCAGTGGTCAGCGTGTCGGGATCCCAACTGCAAAGTCCGAGGTTCAACTCCAGTCAGCATCCAGGCTTCAACTTCAACATTCGCAAGGTAAAAATGTAATAACGACCTAAGAAGCGATACGGGTAAATAAGAAATAAGTTTGAAAAAAAAATGAACAAAATTTTGAACACTAAACTTTTCAAATATTTGATACTACAGCGTTTTGTCGTTTAAAACTAGTAAAATACTGTAGATAAAAATACATAAGTGACTGACATAAAAACTGTCAAAAAACTACAGTTAGTCCGAAAAAACTGGTAGTTTTTCTATAGTCTTTCTGTACTAAAAGTAGTAAATTCTATACTTAAACTGAAGAATTTTGCAGTATTAGTAATGTCTAATTCCGGTTTAAACACACTTTACTCTCTCCTTTTTCACAATTTTAACTAGTGTTATGGGTACATATAAAACACAGCAACATCCTAGAGAATAAGTGAAGATCCTTCCACCCGGGAATTTCAGGCTATCTTAGGGGTCACTCCTGGACAACGAAACGCCTGGTGCAAATCCTAGCAACCAACCCTAAGGGAGTGAAAGGGCGCAACAAAGAAATAGGGGTTGGTCCAAAAAGTCGAAAATCAATTTTTTTATGGTCTCCGAAGAGGTAACTCGTGAAAGCAAAGCCCTTTGGGCTAAAATTTCGTCCGTTTGCCTCTATCTTGCACCGTTTGGGCGCTAGAGTGTTTTTTTCGACAAAAATACGATGAAAATGACCACGTTGCACATGAAGATGTACAAGGAGGCGTCTAATCGTAAAATGTCAGAGGAAGTACACCCCCTAAACAGCACATTCTGAGTCAGATACTACCCGCCGATTTACCGTATCTTTAACCGTTTATGAGCTAGTTGGATGTATTGACAACAATCACAAAAAGTAAGTAAAAAAAGCCCCGAAGCGTTTTTAGGCTTCGGCCGGGAGAGGGCTAACTGCTACAGTGCTGAGTGTTGTAGAAAGTTTGAGATAAACCGCAGTAAGTACACAAATG